CTGTCGGTTCCATCACCATTTTTCCTGGCAATTGAGTTAACTGAAAATCAATGTCGAAGTGTGCGCATGCATGTGGAGAGAGCTGAGAGAGAGAGAGAGAGAAACAAAAACAATAAGACAGGGGAAGCCACGGCTGAGATCATCGAAAGTGCCGAAGCGACTGAAGAAAGTGGATGCCGTGAGTGGTGCAGAAGGGTCCATCCGCTGATCCAAACTCCTAGAGTCTTAGAGTTGTAGGGGGAACTTGTCTTCCCGTTCCCTTCATGGATGTGCATGCCGCATGCCGTTCGCTTCAGTCATCGCGACTGGTCATCACGTCCCTGTGTGACCACCGCACTGGGCCAGGCACCCGTCCGCTCTGAGATGATGGGCATCCAGGACAAGTGCCTCGGTGGAGAGGAGACCTTTCAGCCCAGGTTCAACCCTGTGACCTTACAATGAACAACATCACTGGTGTCACTGCCACAAAAAGGGGTATGACTCGCGGAATGACAGCTGATTTGGGATCTTCGGTATTTCTGAATGGTTGATTCCAGCATTCAAAGTGTTCTTCAATTCACACCGCAGGAGTTGGGGCCGCCGGAGCCCCCAACTCTTTACTTGAAGCAGGCCGCCTCTCACAAGGATTTGTATAATGTGTGAGGGCAGGTTGGAGATGACAGCTTGGAAGGACTGCCTAGCGGCTCTGAAGAATTAGAGCTGTCAATACCCCTGATAGGGTTTGCAATTAAGAGCCAAAATCAGTGGACCAAAATACTGTTGCAAAAAGATATGCACATGTCATACCCACATGTGATACCGTGAAGAGCTGGGGATCATGTTCCCCAACTAGGGAGCTTTCGTGGGGCCGTTCCTTCGCCACCGAGGTCCGAATCGTTGGAACAGCCGGATGGCTGCAGTGCAGGGGGCCGGTCGTCATCGCGATCACGTCATGATTTGGGAGAAAGAAGGCTTTTGGAAGGTGGTGAAAATCACAAAGACATAATCTGGGTATTCATAATTCATCACAATAGGGATCTGACACAATAATAGATACATATAATCTAGGGTCGGGCAGTTCCTTTTTGGCTGACTTCTGGTACACGCGTGGTAGTGAGCGGTGCCAATGTTCTTTCCTCCCAATTTGGGGGGCAAGCGTGTGATGTTGAGTTACCAGGCACCAGGCCTTTGTGAAGCAAGTCATTTGAACAATATGTGTCTCATGTCAAGCGTAATTCTGGTACAGCAACTTCAGTTCCAATGGTTCTTCATCCGCACCACTCCAGCAGAACCACTCAACACCAGAGGAGATTTGTCAAGATTCTGCCAAGGAGTTATCCCGGTTATCCCGGAACATTCTCTAAACTACAAAACCTAAAGGAAGCTCTGAAAGCGTTCATCCTACTCAGTCACACTCTTCTTGAACCACCTTAGGGCTTTGGTGTTTTCTCAGTTTCCCAATGGCCCATGGCTAAGATGGATCATCAAACCTACATCCACTAAGGTTGGAGAAGAGCATTGCAAAGAATCGGCGCTCCGTATTCATGCCCCATGAAGATGCCCTTTGGCCAGGTAATGCGACGTGCTCGTGTTTCATTTCTTACTCAAGAGGTAGAATCGAACACAGATCTGAGGGTGAATCGTATTGAGGCACGTAGACATTGACTCCTGCTAACCTCGAAGTTTCCCCTCGAGCTACAGGGGCCTTTAGATCACCGGATGCTTGACCCATCTTGCCATGGAAAGCAGGATGATGCTGGAGCGTTAGCATTGGCTGGCTGCTACCACTCACAGTGGCAGCGGAGCTGGGCTGACGATCCAGGACCATGCCGAACTCCGAGGCAGAGGAGGACGAGACCTACACGAGGCCACCGAGGAGCGGAGCCAGGGGAGAGAGAGAGAGAGAGAGAGAGAGACAAGTCCCAAAGCGAAAGCAGGGGCCAAAGCTACTGCGAGCGTTGTCAGGCATGGCGCAGCTCGCTGTTGAAGAGATGGACTTCGACGACATCGCGAGCGAAGATGGCGTGAGAAACATCATGGCAAGGTCTTACGCCCGCATGGGGAAGGCCTTCAGCCGCTTGTCCAAAGAAGGGGTAGGCTTTTTGCCGGCAGTCCACCGGTACATTCTGTACCGCCAGGCTTCATTGATTGAGCGAGGCAAAGAACAGAGGTTGTTGACCTGGTGTGATGGTCGCTACGACAAGATGTCCCTTGTCAAGCCCTCAGAAAGCCCGACAAGGTCGTTAGGGACAATACTTCCGGCAAGAACTCCTACATGCTGGCCCTCGATGAGACTCTTGAGAATGACGTGTGCATCCAGGCTGAAGAGGACGAGGGTGGTGGCGAAGACTCTACCGTATCTATTATGGCAGAGGGGGGCCTCGATGGCACCTACACCGAAGCTCTAGCGAGCCATAGAGAAATGAGAGATGCGCTTTAAAGCCAGCAAAGCGGAAGGCTTCTACAACCGGGAGAACCTTCAGTTGACCAAAAAATAGGATCTTTTGGCTGAAAAAGTTTGTTGAAGAGAGGAGGCAAACTTTCAAATTCTCTGTCTCACAGACCGCCGATCAGTGCAAGGCCGCATCACGGCCTTTGAAGTTGGGGTCATGGATACGGCCGCTGAGGTTGGTTCGGTCGGGACTCATGCCCTTCAACGACTCGAGCGCCAGCTACAAGAACATGGCTTGTCCTGCCAAGTGGTTCCCCAAGAAGTCATTAGCCAAAGGCGCAGGAGGGCAAGCTCAAGCTGCTGGAGGCATGATTCCTGTCTTGTGGGCATCGGAGGAGTGAACGGACTGTTATAGTTGAGCCACGAAAGCAAAGAAGACCTGGAAGAATGGAAATTTTTTGCGCTTCAGAGTGCGACAAGATCCCCAAAGCAAAGCTATAAAGTGCCGGTAAATACTGGTCCAGGATCGCAAGAAGATACAAGCCCTCAGAGCAGCCAGGTGAAGCCCCAACGAAGAAGAGTCGACTGTGCATCAGGGGAGACAGAGACCCCGACATCCTAGACTTGGAACGGTTCAGCCCAACTGTAGGCACCATGAACTTGAATTTTATGCTTCGGTTGGCACTGAGCAGAGGATGGAAATTATTGCTGGGGAAGTGTGTTCTCCGCTGAAGCGGGAGAAAGGGTAACTGTATTTCAAGCAGCCGGCTGAAGGCATAGCCGGGCTACACCCAGAACAGATTTGTTGAAGCAACCCGGCTTCAGAGAGAGCACCCTGGACCCATGCATCTTCAAGCCCCATGAAGTTCAATTAAATTGTATAGGGGTGCTGGCCATAGACGTCGACGACATTTCGTCATGCGGAAAGGGGTTCCTTCAAACACTGAGAAGATGAAAAAACTGAGGGGTCATTTCAAGGTCGGAAAGTGGATCGACCTCAAGGACGAAAAACATGAAGCAGGCTTCAACGGAAGGAGGTTGAGACAAGACTCTAAAGGAACCCTCCACATAGAAATTCATAGAAGAAAGGCTGGAGGATGATGCCTCTCTTGGAAACGATGAGTTCCACTCCCAGGAGCCAGTTCCACACCCAGGAGCCAGGTTTGACAGGAGGTGAAAGCCAACCTGATCTGGTGGCGAAACGAAAAGCTGCAGCCAAAGCTGCAGTCAGTTGCCAACTCGACGCTGGCCGCGGAATCCAGAGCTTAGCCCGAGGACTTGGAGATCTTTCTATGGGTGAAGGTGCTGTTCAAAGAGCTAGAAGCTGAAAGATTCAGCATGCATGAATGGCCCGCAGCCCTCTCTCGCGACCACCTTGAGCGAATGTCTGGCAATGTGGGTGCTAATTGTCTTGACGGCTATATGTGTAAGGGGACGGTCGGAGGTCAAGACACGAGAACTGAGGCAGAGCGCCTTAAGGGCCCCAACTTACAGGGGCCCTTAGATCACCGGATGCTTGACCCATCTTGCCATGGAAAACAGGATGATGCTGGAATGTTAGGATCGGCTTGCTGCTACCAGGCTACCACTCACAGACAGCAACAAAAGCCTATAGTTGGATATACTGTGGGGGTTTACGCAACCTCTAGTGTCTTCAAGCCGAATGATGCAAATTGAGTCAAAGTAGGAAGAGTGCAGCCGCAGCCCTGTGCCGTATTTCAAAGGAGATGTGGTTGGACAATAATGGAGAATAGGCGGAGCTGCGGAGCATGCGTTCATGCAACGTGCCTGGGGCAAGACCTCCTGACGACACCATCTGCATGTAGATGAAAATTCCCGAACAAGGGCCAAAGGCGTTGCTGTAGCAGTAGCAGGAAGATGGATTTGCATGTTTATTTGTTAAGTGCAGCATTGTCCAATGACTGTATGTGCAAGTGTCATTCCTGGCTAGGGTAGTTTGCCTATAAGTTCCCTCTTCCCAGCGCAAGTCGATGCTAACCTGGCTTGGAAGAGACGCGGGCTGTAAGGTCAGAAAACGTTTTCACAAAGCCTTGTCGTAACTGGTGCTTGGATGTCACCTAGGTCAGGACCAGCATCCAATCTGTTTATGGTGCCTCGGCAGCATGGGCCAAACTGACAGGAGCTAAGCATAGCCGAACTCAAGATAAACATCGCACAGGGACCTTTCAGGTATTTTCAGGTGCTGGGTTTAAAGGAGCCGTTCCGAAGGGAAAACACAGGCCAACTTTTCATGAGGATAGCGAAGCCCAACATGTAGTGTTCAAGGGTGTTTAGTCAGGATAAACCATCATGACTCAGTGATATATATTCGGATATTTACATTGTATATAATACATATGTACCAATATATCATATACCCTATTTTTTAAGTCTTGCATCCCTTCGGCGATATTTGACCCATAGCTTCCTTTACTGCAGCATGGATAGAGGTTGAACAGCAAGGCAGTAAACTATGCAAACACTCCTTCTTCATGCGGAGGGGCAACACTGACAACACTGGTTTTCAGCAGGGATTTGGCCAAGGATCCCACTTCCGCCAGAAGACGAACATGGTGGGAGGAACTTGCTCCAAGGTGGCCAAACATCCGCAACTTTGACTCAAAAGTCAAGGACCGGCCAACCCTAAAGGAGAACACGAGGAATTTTACCGTGGGACCGTGGGACCTCAGGTTTGAAAGCACATGTTGGAACATAGGTATGTGTGCCTCAAACATGTTGAGCCTTCGGTGCTGCTCACGGTGCTTTCCAAGTCACATTTTTTTCGCGGACCCGCACCATGCCTAGGTATTTCCAGAACCTTGACATGCTCATGATTTGTGTGTATGCCGTGTGGATGGGCATTGATGCTGATTGGAACGACAAAATGTTGATCACCGATGGCCAGTGGATGTTCCAGACAGCGGACCAGGTCTTTTGCGCTTCGGACGGGGAACGGAACCGGGAACCCGCCTCGTTCTTCCCCGGGTTTTTGAAAGACAGATCCAAGAAAGATCTCGGTGCCCAAGTGGCCTTAATGATCGACTTAAGCAATGATTTTGTGAGAAGTTTGTGCACGCCGTGGGTCTCATTTTGGCCTGACATTTATGTCAAGATTGTAGATAGATAGATATATATATATATACTAATATATATTAAGAGAGCGTCCAAATGAAGAAGTCATGGGCTTCTCATGATCGTATAGGCTACGCCGTAGGCATCGGTAGGTCAACTCCGAATGGAAGGAAGTCACTCACACTGAGTCACTGAGTGACCAGCGCCACAGAAAGGGACCCGTTTCGCGCGCACGTATCAGGCCCCGTAGATTTCACGATATTTCACACCTTGACCTCTCAGAGTGTTCCTGTTGTGGGACGGCTGGGAGTCAGACTTGAAAAGCTTCGATCCAAGGCCACTTGAAGGATTTGTTAAGAAGTCCATTGGGTCACTCGAGGTTCAAAACTTGGAGGTCTCAAATCAAAGTGCCAAATTCCACACTTTCAAAGTTCGAGTGCAGTATCCCAATTGTATCATAAAGATTCATAAAGTATATCCAAGTTGTAGATGTGGTAGTGCCAAAGTGTAGGAGACAAAACATTGGCCCTTTAGTCAGAACCATTGTTCAGAACTAGTCGCTGAAGTAGAACCAGCTGATGCAGTCCCATTCGCTCTGAGGGCCGCAACATGTCCCTTGCCCATTGTGCAAGAAACCAGACGGATCACGAAGTTGCCAGATTCGGACAGATGTGTCCAAAGCATCAATTCCTCATTTTGGCCTTTGATTCGGTGTGAATCAGTGAATTGAATATACATATATATATATATACACATAATCATTTTCTACTTCAACTTGGTTCCAAGTGTATCTGAGGCGTGTACTTTGTGGTAGAGTTGATGATTCGCTTCTTCGCCTTTACCAATTGCTGGGACCGCATTCGTGACCCATGGTCACTTGGCCCACGACTTGGACGGACATTTTTCGAAAACCCTTTTGTAGCGCACTACTTCTTCCCAGCTGTTCCTCCCAGAGGCCAAAGAAAACTGCTATGGAACCTCTTGGATGTTTTTGTTTTGGGTGTTTATTTGTGGCGTGTTCGGAGGGCCCCAGCCAATTCCTTTTCCCAGGCACACCCATTGCTGGAAAAGAGTTTATTGGACAATGCTGTTTGGCTGTTTGCTGATCTTGTTGCGTTTGGGTCATGTCTCGGTATGTCTCGGTTTCTCGGAGTCATTAATTACCTCAGATTTCAGCCACTCTCAGCATTTGCAAGGTTTGTGTTGGATTCCATCTTGGTGCCGCTCACCATTTTTGACACCTGGGCGCCGCAGCCGAACAAGTTGGGTCCGAAAAATCCAGAGATTGGTTTTTGGAATGCAAGATCAACTTTGTGCAGATGCCAGGGGCAGGGGTGGGCAGAGTTTGACAGGACAGAGCCTTATCAGTGTCCGAGCGTTAGAAGTAATTTGGACGCGGTGCTGCTTAGTGGCCAGTATCCACCAACTCTGACCTCCACCAACGTACTCAATGGACTGATTGAAAGCTCCTACAGTCTTCAACATGAAAAAGACAGTGCCTCAGTGAGATTGCTTTCTTAACCGACATTGTTCGGTGGAAATGGTTTCCTCATAGTCTTTGAGTTTTTGGATATGCTTTTGACGATCTTGTGCTCGCTTGTGCCTCGCAAGCACCGCAGAAGCAACACCTTGAGGCGATGACCATCATCTCTTTGTCCTCAAACGTGGATGAGCAAGATGCAACGATTGTACGTGGTCTACTAAGTTGCTCCAGTGCTTGGTTCATTTGCTCCGGTTTCGTTCAGGCATATGTGTTAGGCACTAGAGCAGAGCATCTTGGTTTGGTCAAGGTTTCAAAGGAGGGGCTGCACAACTGGCAGACTCTCAATGTTTTGATGTGCTATGTCAATTTGGTCAAGTTCTTGGGTTTGGTTGTGCATTTGCACGAGGTCGCTCGGAGATTCTGCGCTGGTTCAGGCCAGGGTGGTGCCTTCAGGCATTTTGAGGGTGGGTCTCAGTATGTATAGGAGAACCCTGCCCGATAGGTTTGGTCATGTTAGGTCCGCCATGCACACCCACTGCCATCAATGCTGAGAGAATCCTTCCACCGTCGACGCGGCTCGGCTCCCCCTGCGTCTCCTCCCGGCCAGGACGCTGCGGCTCTTCCGGATCGCCCGGGTTGCCAAGCTCGTCAGGCCGGCGCCTGGGGTGGGGTGGATGGAACAATCCATCATCAAGGTGGTGGGGGTTCTATGTATAGACTATAGTAACTATAGACCCTCCAGCTGCAGCGAAAGGCAACCATTGAAGTAGACAAGGACCTTTTCTTGCAAGTTGAGTGGTTTTTGCAATCAGGGGTTTGTTCCACTTCCACCTTAGTGAGTTGGAGGGCACATCCCAAGGACAATAATTTCTTGGCAATGTCCTGCTTCAAGAGGTGGCGAGAATGCTATGCTATGCAGAGAGAGTGAGAGAATTACGGGTATAGATGTTCAAGTGTTGTGATATAATATATGCTGTGGTGAGAGCATGATGATGACAAGTGATGTTTCAGATCCGAGGTATGCTGCAGGTGGTCTGCAGCAGTGAAAAGAGCGCCCCCGTCTAAATCCATCCTTAAGATGGTAGATTGAAGGAAGATGGAATAAAATTTGCGCAAGGGTCGAGGGTGTTGCGCTAGCTAATTTAGAAGTTTGAGCCAGCTCCACAGACAGCTCCAGCGATCCCTCTTCTCCATCTCGTAGGCTTGGGTTCCTGCTTGCGTTCCTCATGCCATATCGACACCCCAGCTCCCGCTTGTTTGTGTGATTGCGATGTTCCTTATGTACATTCTCACTTGCTAATTGAGCCAGTGTCAGCATCCAGGGGTAGCTACAGTGCTGCATTGTTTGGCCAGACATCTGCGTGTCCAAAACATCGAAAAGTGTGCTCCGGGCATGATCTTCCATAGTTTGCCATACCCTGGAACACGTGCATTTACAGTTTACTCCATTCATGGTCCCAATGGAAGCACGTATCCCTCGATGTCACGATCACGGTGGTTCAGAAGGCTCCGATGGACTGGCTGTCAGGGGCCTATGTGGTGGGGTGAGCATGGGGCAAGCATATATATAGACAGATTTTATGCTTGAAATCTACATTGAAACGGGAGGTTCTTGCCAGAGCTGCAGATCCTGCTGAAGGCAATGCTCACGGCCTTCCGATCAGCTCCTGGGATGCGGCCGTGCTTGCGAAAGCACCGTTTGCTTCGCTAACAGTGGGGATATTGTACTATGATGTATTATGCACGCACCGGTGTACACGACATATAAATCTATGCTTTGTTGCTATGATGTTTTTTTGGGGGGGTTGTTGGCCTGTTTTTGATTTGAGACTTTTCCCATTGTGGTTGGAGACTTGGATGAGAAGTTTGCGACGCGCCTCACTTTCTTCAGGATCGTGTGGACGGACTGCAGGATCGTTGTGGAGGTCACCCATGCCAAAATAGACAAAAAAGGGACCGCACGAGGGACCGCATCGGGGCCGTATACAGGGTCACTGATGAATTGAAAGCAACGACTGCATCGAAAGTCGGAGAGACCAGGGTTCCGCCGCTGCCAGCGGGGCTGCCGTTTTATCGGGGCGGGCAGGATCGTGGGCTGCTGAAAGTCAACCAAATTTAATTAGAGGATTAGCTGCAGGCACACACAACTGTTCCAGGTGTGGGGAAACATGGAGAAATCAAAAAAAGACAATCCTGTGGGGGATGCCGGCTCCTTGAACGAAGGCAACCGCTGGTGTCCCAACTATGTCGGAGCTGTGAGTGTCACCACATGACATGATTTGGATGGGCACAAGAGGCCTCTTTAATCCTTCTTATATATGACTATTATGACTGCAACTATATTATGTTGAAACATGTTGAAAGGGAGTCCTTCAGCACAAGGACTTTTTCAGCCTTTTGAGGTCAGCATCCTGGCAATCTCAGGTGTTCTTTGCCCTCCTCTTGCTTCTCGCGTCGCACTACATGCTTGCCATTGTCTTCAACGTCACCTTGCAAAACACCACTTCTGGCGAAGCCCACTTTGACACCGTCTTGGCACCTCGGTTCAGGGTCAACCCTGTTTCGATTGGACGGTCGGTTCCGAGCTCGGTCGGTTCCCTTTTGAGTCCCACTTTGGGTCAGGGCATGCCGGAATTCGAAGATCGTCTCCATGTCTCAGCCCCCCCCCCACGGAATTCTTGCACACATTCTTGGACCTGCAATCGCCTGCGATGACCAAGTGATACCGTCATCCACGCCCTGGGATGGTGTCCTCGTCCGTTTGGTGGAGGTTCTGCCTGTGTCGCTCAGGATTCCATGCAGACCCTCTTTGTCCACTGCACCCTGCTGGATGAAGTGCTTCAACTCATTGCCACTTGGGTCACCATTGATGGAATGTCCAGACAGACGACGTAGACGAGTCTACGTCCCTCCAGTAGGTCATGGTCAGTTCGTCTCACGGTTCAGATTCAGACGTTCCACGAATCCTGACAGAACCTCGTGGGAGATTCGCACGACCTAGGCAAAAGATTCCCAAACATATTGACTGCTTTGAACATGCCTTCTCACCTTTTCCAACCGCCAGCCACGGCCAGCCTTTCAATCTCTGGAGCTTTGGATTTCAGGTTACAAGCAGTCATGTTTGGATCATCCAGAAGGTGGAGATTTGGATCATATGTGTGTTCTCCACTGAGGATGCTCTCAATCTCGAAGGACTCTACTTCCACTTGGTCATGGTGTACTTTGTGATGTTTATCAATGTGACTTGGTCAGTTCATCAAACTCCGGCACCCTTCAACTGTGGTGGCGCGTTTGTCACAGCCGGTTGCTGTAGAAAACGGGCATTATTTAGTCTCAAGGAGGTAAACTCACCGGGAAGGGGTCAAGTATTGCGTTTTCTAGAGGTGGAGTAGTTCACCAGAAAATGAGGTCTCATAGGCATGCTGGCAGGATCATTTTCTAGACATCACCTTGTTTTCTTGATCCCACCTGTCCCTTCATTTCTAGTGAGGTTCCTCACGTTCTAGGAAACATGATGAAATATGATGAATCATGATGAGTCAAGACGGAGTTTAAGTAAAACACAACAAATCCACTTGCTTTGTTTGTTTTGTTTGCTCAAACCCACTTCCTCAACAGGTAGTGGCTTTTGCTTCGTTGGTGTCAGCATTTTGATATCAATCACTTCATGAATGATGATTTTCTTCCTCTTGGCCTCCGGCGATTCTGCCTTGATTTCACGCTTGATGTTGTTGTAGCCCCTTTCCAACGTGGCAGAGAGTTCAGGCTTGATATAATGGTTTGCCTTCATGGCCGATTCAGTTTTCATCTTCTTCAGGGTTGGTTATCATCATCATCATCACCACCAAAATTCAAGGTTATGAACTCACACAACTTCTGCCAAACCTTGAGCACTCATTTTCTAAACACTGAATTCCTCATTTCCCCATGTTTCCCCACAGGTTGTTCAAGTCCAGTTTTTTCGTTCTGAAAACATAAATTTCTTTCGGAAAATGATGAACATCCTCACATATGCTCACCAAAACCTTGAGCACTCATTTTCTGGACACAGAATTCCTCGTTCCCCCATGTTTCCCCACAGGTTGTCCAAGTAAAATTTTAACGTTCTGAAAACATAAATCTCTAGAAATAATGAAGAACACGCTCACCAAAACCTTGAACACTCATTTTCTGGTCTTCCCGACAGGTTGTTCAAGTCAAGTTTTGTCATTCTGAAAACATAAATCTCCAGAACATGATGAACATGCTCACCAAAACCTTGAACACTCACTTTCTAGACACTGAATTCCTCGTTCCCCCATGTTTCCCCACAGGTTGTTCAAGTAAAATTTTAACGTTCTGAAAACATAAATCTCTAGAAGATGATGAACATGCTCACAAAAACCTTGAACACTCATTTTCTAGTTATATATATATATATGTTTTTTAAAGTTTTGTATGCTTTGTTTGCTTTTGGGAGTCCTCGCAACACGTAGATGTAGGATGAAGCAGGAACCAAACCGAAGATGCGCCAAACACAAATAAGGGTGCGTTTGGAATTTCAGGTCATTTTCTACTGCTTTCACTAGATTATGCCAAACCTGCCTCATGAGGCTGCGTCACTCATTTCCTAGGGAGCTGACATTCATCATTCCCCAGGAAATTCACTAAAAAATGACTAGGACTGACCCCTCCATGTGATTTTCATGGGGGGTTATATATACTTATATCTTAACTCATACGAATCATAAAAAGTCACAAGAGTTCCTCATTTCCCGTGTGCTTTTGTCACCTTTTGCCCATCAACAGTCTGGAATAACTCCCCCTTCTGCCATGTAGAAACATAACCACAGTTTGTGCAAACAGCAAGTCCAGGGGGCCATTCTCCATTCGCTGAGGCGATCACATTGATGAATATATTGATTGGAATTGTGGTGGAAGTCATCAGCAATGTGGCAGCTGCTGAGAGGCCCTTCCCTTCCCCCGAGAACAGCTGATCGACTCAAGAACAACGGGAGAGCCATGGCCGAAAGGAATGCTCCATGCGGGCCCTACGTTT